CACACGTGCGCCTGTGTCCTCCTTCTCCCCACTGCTCCTGGCTCCCAAAGAGAATACAGAATTCACATAAGAGAATACAGATGGACTTTTCATTTGCAAAATGCTAATTTCTTATTTAAAACATATACACCATTTTAATTAGTACAAAAACAGAGAGAAAATCTGTTATCTTATTTTATAACAAATAAGGACCAAGAGGTTTGATGGCATTTTTTGTTCCCAAACCAAATTTATATCAATATTCAAGTTGTAATACACAAGTGAAATAGAAACAAATAAATACAATTGGAATATAGACACTTGGGAATACAAATACAAGTTTAAAGTCTCTTTTACTAATTTAATTATTTTGTTTTCTTTCAGTTTGTTCCCAGTACTCTAGAGGAGTTTTTGCCATTTTTGGACTATATGATAAGAGATCAGTACATACTTTGACTTCCTTCTGCAGCGCCTTGCACATCTCCCTCATCACACCAAGCTTTCCCACAGAAGGAGAGAGCCAGTTTGTGCTGCAACTACGACCGTCTTTACGGGGAGCTCTCTTAAGTTTGCTGGATCATTATGAATGGAACCGTTTTGTCTTCCTATATGATACAGATCGGGGTAAGTGGCAAGCCAGCTTTTCTCATTCCTGAGTCCTTGACTGATTGTTGTAATACCCATGCATCTCAGATGCTTTGAGAATATAGTAAAATAAGGGCAGTGGGTTGAAATAGCCTTTTGCAGAGTGTCTCTGCACTTTAAGAAAGAATTCCTCCCTTTGTAGGTGTTTGGCACTAAAATGTGTCCACTATTGCATAATGCCCCATAGTATCATAATACTACATCTGAAATACGAAAAGGTGGTCATCAATGTTAATGTCATCAAGACACATGGTGTTAGCAAGAATTAAAAATCAGAGCTTCTTTTTGGCCCTTGATTTTTCTCACCTGGTTTTGATTACAGTAGTAGTCATAAATACAGAGTCACTCCATTTCTATCATAGGACCTACTGAAGTATAAACTGAGATCCTAGCCTGGTCTCTTTAGTTTCCATATTGTAAAAGGATCAGGTGGAGGGTTCATGCACAGTAACTACAGCCTGCTATTCAAGAAAGGAGAGTAAGGAACGTGGGTGTAAGAGAAGATCTCTATATAATACAGATCTACTGGACAGTAAAGTAACCTGGAAAGAGTACAAAGCAGCATGCAATGTCTTCCTCTTTTTCTTGTGACTGCAGATAGCTACCACAATCCATCCTACCACAGTCTGCTATCTACTTATAATATTCTGTAGTGTTTGAAAAATGTTACCTCTTCTAGCAGAGTCTTCCTATTGAAAGATTCTGAGATGCTCTGTTATATTCTTTAAGTGTGCACACTGTCCTTGGGCATGTCAGACATACTGGTTGGTTGAGTAGGATTTCATCCTCCCCATATCCTCCCTTCATTTACTAGCAAAGTTCATCAACACTGGTTTCACTTATGGGACCAGGATCTGGACTTAATGATTAGGCTTTCATGAGAGAGGCAGGATTTTTCTCTTTATGTTAAGGATTTGCTTACAGAAGAAGATTGACTGGCATAACTAGAATAGAATAATTATTCTGCTATAGCTATGTATATAGAGCTCCCCATGTGGACAATCTGTTCTGGAATAAAAGTGGCTTTATTCTTCTATAATTGCTCTGCTTTGGAAGTGGAGTAATTATACTAGAATATAGCCACTTTTATTCTAAAATAGTGTTCACATGGGGACTTGCAGCATCATAGTTGTGGCAGCATAATCATTCTATGCTGGTCCATTTTCTCAAATAGGTGCTAATTTGAGTGGATTCTGAGGTCAACTATTTATTATGTGAAATGCCTGAAAGACATGGAGTTGGGCCAAAATTAGTAAAACATTCAAGGATAGGAGTAATCATTTATTTGATTAAAAAGTTTTGTTAAAAACTTTTTGCCTATTTGCATGTCTAACAAGAGAAGTTTGAGGTCTATTGTTGAATCATTCAAATTATAAATCTTCCTGTTTTAAAATCTATTCCATGACCAAGCTGCAATAGCAAAGAATCTCAAGAAAAACAGCAATGACAGAAAAAGTGCAGCAGAATATCATTTAAAGACTTTGTGGGAAAGCAGAAGTCCACAACCTTTCTGATCAAAATTCATATCCTTAATTAGACTGAGACACCATTTTCAAGCATGCAATGTTACTCCAAGGGCAGTTTTGGAATATCATTTATAGCAATTATTCTTAAGCAACTCAGCTCAGCAACTTTATGTTCATCATTGTGTCTTTGATAAGGACATGAGATATTTGTCTGGTAGAAGCATGGGACTATGGCATCGGATAGTCTTTTTGCATCTAAAGAGCAACTTTTGTTGTTGCTGAATTTAATAGTGGGGAAAAAAGAAAATGAATCTTCATTTTAGACATTCCAGTCAGCTGTAAAAACTATGGCTGCTAGAGCTGGCATATTCCACAGAAAATTTACATTCACATTATTGCTAAAAAATGTTCATCTGTGTTTTATAAGTATTTTATTTCTTAAAAGAAAAGCAATATAGCCACTGCATTCATACCCGTTAAAAGAAATGTAAACTAATTGGGAAATGTTCAGAAAAAGAAGCTTAGAAAACATGACCTGTAAAGAAGGTTAAGATGATGGAAAATAAGATAGATGGTTGGGGGAGGTTAGTCATGTTCATGGCTGTTAAAAAGGGAGAAAATCAGTTGTTCCCTGTGCCCATGGAAGTTGGTATGAGAAATAATTGGCTTAAATTCTGGTAAAGGAGATTTAAGTTTGATATAAGAAAAAATATAAGAGGCATCCTGCTGCACCCTGGGCCATGCCAGTCCACAAGATTGCATACATGGCTGCCCTGTTGGCAATGGCAGCCATGGGGCTGCCAGTGCAGTGGCTGCTCTTTTTGGGCCACCCCAACTCAGCAACTAGTACTGGTGCCCCAGTGTCGTTGAGTTATAGTTAGTTGGGCAGGCAGGATTGGCAAGCGTTGGTCTTAGTTTTAGCCCTATTCAGCATCTCTACTACTATTCTGAATGATTTTATAGACATCACACTAATTAAAATCACAAATGACACTTCAGCAAATTGGGAAGCATTGCAAGCAACAAGTAGGTCAGATGTAAACAGAACACAGGAATCTAGAGAGGCTAGAAACACCAAAAAGTCAATAACCTGGAAATCTACATGTGGAGAAAAATAACTGAAACAGTTATTCATTGGTAGGGACGTGTAGTACTTGGAAAGCAGCGATGTTTAATAAGATCCAGTGTTGCTAGTAAAACAGCAAATTGGAAAAGCACTTGTAATGCAATCTTTCAGCCGACAGAAAGGCATTGTGCCTTTGGCTTGGCTATTCAGTAATATAGTTCTTTTGTGTGTAACACTAGTGAGCTTACTCTTAGAGTAATTTATTAGCTTTGTAAATTTTTTTTTTTTTTCCTTTTTCTTTTTACTTACAAAAATTCTTGATGGAACTCAGACAAGACTAAGAAATTATTAAGGGTCTGGAGGACTGGTAAATTAGGGAAGGGTACCAATGCAGGAATTCCCATATTACTCCATCCTAATTTTGCATTTAATTTAGTATCTTAGGGAGACAATAAGAAGGACTAGATTCCTTAGAAAAAGTTTCAGTTGCGGGGCACCCTGAACCAGCTTTACTCAGCTCTTCTGCTGACAAACCCAACTTTCACAAGAGTGGGGTATGGATAGGACTGACTGGGAACTCAAACGTGACAGAGTTGCCATTGAAGCATTCACTCTCAAAGTTCTTGTTAACTGGTTAGAATCTTGCTGGGGAGATGGGTTCTGCCTCATTGTAGGCTCTCTTCACCCTACTGCTATATGGATTTTGGCTTTGAATAACAGCTAGAGGAGCTCTCAGAAAGAACACACTTTCAGAAGTTAGGAGGTATGGGGAGGGAAGGAGCCAGAGCTGTGAAGGGGGGGAGTGTGACTTGGAGTAGAATAAAAGGTATTGAAAAGGAGACAGTGATTGAGAGGAAACATGCAAGTTCAGAAGTAGCACATGTAAAGATATATCATGTAGACTTTTCAGTTCACTGCCACACCCATCTCATACCACAGTGTCCAGAAGGACACTCTCACATTTAAAATAAATAGTATGTTTCTTGATGGATTAACATTGTATGGATTGAAAGTTGGATAGAAAATGAAAACTGCCATATTACGCCCCCTCACCTCTTAAATATTACAGCATAGTATCATAGTATTAGCATCAAAGGGGACCTAAACAGATCATCAAGAGGGCAGGAAGGGTGCCAGGGTCATATCACCCCAGCCAAATATCTGTCCAGCCTCCTCTTGAAGACCCCCAAGGTAGGAGAGAGCACCACCTCACTTGGGAGCCCATTCCAGAGCCTGGCAGGCCTAACTGTAAAGTAATATCTCCTGATGTCCAGCCTGAACCTTCTGTCTAACAATTAGTGTGCTGTTATTCCTAGTAATCCTGGGTGGTGCCCAGGGGAACAGAGCCTCCCTCAATTCCTGCTGGTCCCCCCTGGTGAGTTTGTAAATGGCTACGAGATCCCTTCTCAGACTTCTCTCATGGAAGCTGAATAGGTTCAGGCCCTTTAGCCTCCCTTCGTAGGGCCTACTTACAACGATATCAACATGGCAACTGAACACTGATTGACCAATTCAGAAAACAATGTAAATGATAGGCTCATACCTATGTCTTTTGATTCAACATAGAAGGCTTTTCACCCACAAAATGAGACTGCCTAACCAAGCTATACTGAAAATTAACATTCCCATGTTACAAAAAAACTTGCTTAGCTTGACAAAGATGCATCAAAACACCATCTTCCAGGATAGCAACGCCATGCAAAACACTAATTGACAACGTATCCACTAAATGTTTCATTGCCACCATTGGTTCAACCAAATCACAGCCATTGTTCAGTAGGCGTTAGAGACTTCAATAGCCATTACAGATGGCAAGCATGCAACTACAGTGATGCTTCAGGCAAACAACTTCTCAGTGTGCCTCAAACTAAATAGGCATCTGCTGTTCAATCATAAGCAGCCAGGAAAATTTAATTTCACGTGATAGAGAAAAGGCTATTTATTAGACTTCTACTTTGTATCCTACGACCAAAGCATACAGGTTCTGGTTGCAGAACAAACTGCCCTGAGTGACTTACTGCATAACCGACACTGTCCTGTTGTCAGACACATTAATCTCCCCATCTGTTCACATAGCAGCTGAGGTCATGTTGGAACTTCATGAAGGCTGATTGGAACAGCTAAAGAAAAACCATAGAAATAATGACTTGCCAAATATCTGTAAACATAGACAGCTATGATGGATTCACAGCCTCCTTAAAATGGTCACAAAGAAAGAATTTTTCTGTGCTGTTGCAACCAAGTTCCTAGAATAACTGGACCCTGATGGATGAGAAAAATGGATAAGAGCTTTTAACATTTGGCTATCACCCACTCAAGCACACACTCAAGCAGGAAAGCCAAGAGGCTTCTCTTTGGTCTGGGAGATGCTACCCCTCCCCCAAGTACTGTTCCATATGTTGCCACCAATTCTAATTCATCCAAACACTCCTGAACAACAAAGCCTA